TAATCTCTTCAAATGACTAACCGACATCACGTCATTGATCATCGGTGGATTAATACACAGGGATAGTTAACACCCCATCCATTCCGTGATCAAGCGCACATAAAATTCCATCAATAGTCCTTTTAGAGTAATTGCATAAAACAACAAAGGAATTTTTTTTAATAACCTAAAATTATCCGCCGGGTATTTAAAATAGCACGAGTAGATAACCTGCAAAATTCCAAACGAAAGCTTCAATATCCCGCCATATTTTCGCCTATTACAGAAGATTCAAATTTTTCCGCCAAAAAAAAATCAATTCTACCGAATCATTTCATCGAATCAAAAAAATATCTGTTCCTCCGATCTTTCCCGATTCCTCTAAGATTTTGAAATTTGAAATTTTGAAATAAAAAAAAATTTTTTTTATTCCACCAAAACAATTTCCATCGATAACTCGACCACTAATGATACTAGAAAGTTCATCACGGAGACTTTTTCAGCTGAAATTTCCCTGGCTATCCCCGAGGGTTATTATCGACCCCATGCCCATCATCATGACATGCTCTAGGTGGAAAAAAAAAATATTAAACAAAAAATGTTCATCTTCACTGAATCACGAGTTCTCACGCACTCCATATATCCCTCTACCCCCGTTGAAATATTCACATTCACATGTACACCCCTCACCCCCTACTGTCCCCAGTGGTATTACGTGCTCGGGATTCCTTCGACGCGTGTCCTGCGACGTATCTCTCGATACCCCTGGCGATATTAACGCGTCTTGTAGTAGAGGCTAGCCACTGGGGATATAACGGACTACCAAACAGAGGTTAAGAGGGGTGGGTGGTGGGTGCAGAAACTTCATACGCGAAACGATATATCTGCAACGACGTATCATGTATGGTGGCAACACATATAAAGAATTGTCCACACGAAAATATATACGAGACGAAATGAAACGGGTATTTCGTCGGTTTTGAAAATAAAGGTCAAGAGGGGAGGATTTTATTTTTATGGATGTATATATCAAGCTTTATGAACGTTCTGCTGAAGACGGAGTATCACCGTGCTTAGAAGAATAGCAATAAAATGCTATTTAAAAGAAATAAAAGTTGTCTCACAGATTGAGGAATTATAGTTAACAAGATTTTCGTTTCTTTGCAATATTCAAATGCCATTACTCGATTGGATTTGCCATGAAATATTCACGGGAAAAAATTAAAGATATTTTCCCATTTTCCTTTTCACATTCATTCATCAGCTAGTCACAATTGCGGAAAGTCTATGGAATATTCGAAAGGTGAAAAAACTCCACCTACATGGAAATAATAGAAAAGGCCACATCACCTGATCTGCGGGGAACCCCCGAGGGTTCATCGCCCTTTTTTTTTTCTCCTCTCTTCGAAAAAGAACATAATAACCGTCAACCACAAGTGCTGGCTGTCATATTCACCCTCCGCGATATAAACCGTAAGACATCCCACCATTACATCAAACGTGTTATTCTCATATCACTGTCTATCTTCTGAAGAAATTTCCCTTCTCGGATTAAAACGAGAGGCATAAAAATAACCCAGAACGAATCATCGGGGGGTTAAACACCTCCCAGGTAGGCTGGGGTGAATGAGGGTTAAAAACTGCAATTTTTCTTTATTAACCCAGGTAAAAAAAATTTCCGAAACAAATTTTTGAAAAATTTATCAAAACATTTGCCAAAAATAAAAAAAGAAAAGTTTTCGATAAATGTTTTGAAAATTTGGAAAAAACTCTTTTTACCTGGGAATTGCCAGAATTCTTTTTTGAAAATTACCACATCATTCTCCCGCAAATATTGCCGGAAAAATTACCGTCGAACAGCAGAAGCCTCGAGATTCATCAAGAGCAACAAGACAAACGTTCAAATCCGTGCGGATATATGTCAGTTCACTGTGGATAGGGGCAGGAGGGAACGGGGGGGCACGAGAGTGTACTATACCCCCCATGTGGCAAAATCGTTAACCACATTGACGAATAGTCTAGCCTCCCATCCCACCTATATCCCTGACAGGTTGGACCATCCAAGTCCCATAGACCTATCGATTTCCCATAGTTCGTGATAATAACGTATTTCATGGATGTGTGGTGTACCTCTCGCGACCCCTTCTTCCCCTTCCCGTGACCCCTCCCTCTCCCAATCGACCCCTTCCACCACCAACCGACCCCTTCCGCCATTCACCTGCTAAAACTGGCATGTATATGGATATATTTTGACAGTCTGTTTCTGCACTTGATATAGGAATTCGCGTGCCCTTTGTGCCCCCCCCCCTCATGATGATGATGAAGGGAAAAGTGTTAGGAGCTCATGTATTGCAATTCATGTATGTATCCAACTATTTTTTTTCCAATTGTCCCCTCTCGCCCCTCCATCAAATGCAATTTTCCAATTCCATGTACGATTTTCCTCGGAAAAAAGTGGGTGTGACGGTAAAAAAAAAAAGTTTCGAGTTTCAACGGTACAGAGTGACACAGACACTCCAACTGCATTTCCATGTTTTATAGTCCGAATGGTTTTATTTTACCTGTTGTGAGCTATATTTTTTATTCAGCAAGGATAGAAGAGGGATTTGATGGAAATGGGATTGCTGGGTGGGGACAAATGGTTGAAACAATGTTTTGGTTGTTTTAGGGGTAAAATATGGTACTGGTGGGTGGATGGGGATTGGGAGGGGAAGGAATTTACGATTTTAGTGGGTATTTTGCGCGACTATGATGATTCAATTGTTTGGCAGATAATTGGGGTGCAATGTTTGATTGTTTGCAGTACCATGCTTCGGGATTTAGTGAGGGAGTTGAGGGCCATTGATTGAGGTAAAATACCGTCATTTCAAGAAGTAGCTCCTCAGCAATGGGTTAAATTCACTTTTCGATTTATCCTGCAACTTTCCCCGGGCGGCCCGGGTAAAAAAAATTGTAATCGAAATATTTTTTCTAAATTTTCAAAAAATTTCTGGAAAGTTTTCCAGAAAAATAAAATTCTTTTGTTTTCCGATTTTTTTTTGTTTCATACAAAAAAAATCGGAAAACAAAAGAATTTTATTTTTCAGAATGGCTTTGAAAAATTTATCAAGAATTTAAATAGGATTTTTTTTATATAATTTAGATAGTGTATTTTTTAAGAATATTGAAAAATTAAAAAAATAAGAAAACAACAGTATACTTTAAAAAAATTATATTCGCAAAAATTTCAAGAAAATGATAAAACAAAATTACCGAAACAAATTTTTGAAAAGTTTTTCAAAACATTTCCCAAAAATACAACTGTTTTGTTTCCCGATTTTTTTTGGTTCAAAAAAAAAATTTCTGAAAAGTTTTCCAGAATTTTTTTGAAAATTTGGAAAAAATATTTCGATTACAATTTTTTTTTACCCGGGTAATTGCACTATCTCTTATAAATTCAACAATTGATGCACATGCAGGAAAATTTCGTCCTCCGTAACGCACAATTGCCCTCATTTCGCTGCATAAATTCCAGAGAACACACTCGACAAGATTTCCTTTGTATCTTTGTTTACAAACTAAGAATTTCCGTTTCCTTTCACGTCGAATTGTCCCTCCATTCCATTCTTTGATAAATAATTAATAACCCCCGGGTCTCTTTTATTCCACGGAAAAACTTTGCAATGTCGTTGGCTCTCTCTCTCTCATTCCCCCATGATTTATGTAAAATGGTGGAAACTAGTGACGACATGCAGCTATAGAATGAAAAACGGAGAGAAAAAAACAGAATTGGGAGTAAGAAATTGAGCTTTGACGAATTTACTAGAAAGTGAGTGGAGATTTGAGAAGTTCGATTAATTTCAACTTGTCATGTTCAAAAGGAGTTGAGTGGGAAAACTGGGAGTGCGACTGTGGACAGCAGAGAAAAAGGAGAGAAGTTACTGCCCAATAAACTTGATGGAAAAGTTTTTATCCAAAACTTTTTTCCCACTCTCACTTTGTCAGAGGCAATTCGAGGAATCTTGGGTTTGGCAGTCATATTAATTGGATCATTTACATGAAATTATACCCCACATTAATGAATTTCTAAATCCCTCTCGGTCACCCGGGTAAAAAAAAAACTGTAATCGAAATATTTTTTCGAATTTTCAAAAAATTTCGGGAAACTTTCCGATAATTTATTGAAAATTTGGTAAAATTATTCTCATTACAATTTATTTTTACCCAAGCATATACTTGTTCAAACCCCGAAAAATTAATTATTCCATTTTTTGAATTATTATATTAATTTTTGTTTTTGAAAAAAAAAAAGGGAAAAAATGCAAGAATTAATCGTTGCGTGATTCCGTGCGCATTGTGATTACGACCAATGTCCCGTACACCCCTCGGCAAAAAAAAAAAAGTAAAAATAATTATAAGGAGGAGTTCTGCCACACGCACATTCATAACCAGCACCTGCCCCAGGAATTTATCCCGAGTATCACGCGATGGGTTAGAAACATCAAAATTCCATCTCCAAGTTGTTTGTCACTCGACCCCCCCCCAAAAAAATGACATGTTCATATTTATAGAATTTTCTCTGAACTATTACACGCTCTTATTCTTTCCCAAATGTCTAAATCCATAATTATTTAAATAGTGAGAGTTCTGAAGACAAGTTGTATAGGGGGAATGGAAAAATACAGGCCGAGCAACAAAGACTTCTAACTCCATTTCCTTGAATGAATATTTCTTTTTTGAGGTATTGATTTGCTTATGCCCGAGGGCAAATCGGTCCCATGGAGTCCGGAATCTTCGGAGGTTAAACTTTAATTAATCCAACTTGGCCCCCAAGAATTCCGCCGCTTGACGAGGCGAATTCACTCCCTTCCCCTCCATCCACACAATTCTTGCGTGGCAAAGGCTTAGATTGCTTCTCCAAACTTCCAATTGCCTTTAGAATATTTGTCCAACTTTGATAACTTCTCAAGTATCGTAGACAATACCAATCAATGACTCTCGTCAAAACTGGTAATTAATACGTATTATTTTTTTGATTACAGAGTAACGAGAGGATACAACACCAGAGGATTCGCAGACTAAATATGAAGGTAAGCTCTCATTACTCCAAAACCAAATGACTCATTGTATTGATTTTTATAGTGTAAACTTTCGTGGCTATTAAACGCGGTGATTATCTACCCCAGTTTCTTCCTCTCAACTTACCCGGAAGCATTGAAAAATCACTCTCATCCCTCCGACTCCTCTTAATCACCGAATTGTTATGTAAAGCACAGTAGTTTGATAATGAATAATAGTGTTCTCCAAGTTTTATCGTGCAGGGGAATCGGATTGATGCTGATACTCCCACTTGCCCAGAATAAAGGAGAGGTTAGTTGCTAAAGTCCTTCCGTTATCGTCTTATTTTCCGGAAGCCAAACTCAAGGAGGGAAGGCAATATATATACAACCCCTCACTCACTTCTCAATCTCAGAGGGTAATGTTTCCAGATTTTCTTATCACTCCAATGAGATATCGCAAACCCGACATTTTTTTTCCTATTTGCAGTACTTTCTATTTTTCATTCCACGCTTGAATAAATTCGAAATCAAATCCGTTTACAAACAAATTATTTATGGTTCATCATGGAATGAACAACAAATGCGATAATCTGTTTTTCGAGGGAAATATCGTGTGGTATTTCCTCACGAAGAGAGAGAAAATTGCTCATAAATTCATAAAAATTTACCTTGGCTCACCTGTAACCCTCTATATCAATAATATTAATTATTTCACTTCACTTAATCATCATTTAATCACGTGCCGGAATGAAAATCCTCACGTGAGCTCTGACTACTCCCAAGGGTGGCCGAGGTTAACACGCGAGTGTAGGTGCGGTGAAATCGTGATAATAATGCCGCGACGTTATCGTTTTATCCAATTGATCGAGTGCACACACCCTTACCACCTCACCCCTTTTCTCTTTGACTTTTACATCGTGTTATCGCCTTACGTCGACACTCCCAGTGGGTTTAGCTTGGTCATCCAATGTCTCCCTTCTGCAATAATGACATCTTTTTTCTTCTTGTTTTTTTTTCTTTTACCGAAAATCTCATGTTTTTTCCATAATCGTGGATAATTAAACATGTCCTACTCGGGTAAAAAGAAATTTGATCGGAATATTTTTTACAAATTTTCAAATAAAAACGGGGAAACTTTTCTGAAAATTTTTTTTGTGAAACAAAAAAATCGGGAACCAAACAATTTTATTTTTGGGAAAGGTTTTGAAGAATTTTTCCAAAAATTGGAATAGGAAAATTTTTTTATAATTCAGATGGCGTATTATTTGAGATTGTTGAAAAATTGAAAAAGTAAGAAAAGAACAGTATTATTCAAAAAAAAATTATATTCACAAGAATTTCTAGAAAATTATTTTAAAAATGTTCCGAAACAACTTTTTGAAAAATTTCTCAAAACATTTCCCAAAAATACAATTGTTTTGTTTCCCGATTTTTTTTGTTTGAAAAAAAAAATATTTCTAAAAAGTTTTCCAGAAATTTTTTTAAAAATTAAAAAAAAATATTTTCATTGCAATTTTTTTTACCCGGGTAACGAAATGGATTTGTTGTTATTCAAGCTGAGCACAACCTATTTTGGTTGAAGTTGTGGAAGAGTTATTGAGATAATGAAAATGATTGTCGAGAAAAATCGATATCTTCTCGAATATTTATCATAACAGAAAGGAAATGATTAAAATTCGTGAAACTTGTGAGCGTCGTTATTTATTTTCCGCCCATTCTCTCCTCGGGGCTTTCTTTTTCCCTTCTTTATAAATAAAGGTGGAAGGAAATGGGGGCTGCGGAGAGGAGGTGGTTTGGAGTTTCTCTGGAGAAATAGATAATGATACGACCCCTGGGCAAGACAGAAGCTCCTCGAGAACTCTCCTCCCTTCTCTATATCCATTTCTCTTTCGTTTGAAGGATCTTGGGAAGGGGTGGTAGATTTTCGTACAGAATAAATGACTCTCTCAGGTGATTTTTTTCAACTTCCACAATTGAAAATATATCATTGTGTCAATGATTTTCGGTAATGGGATTCTCTTCGTCCTTTTTTTTTCCCCAAAGTGAAAGAAGTAGACATTGAAGGGGATAGAATAAGACTGGCGAGAATTCAAAAATTCAGCATGACGATTTAAAAAAATTCTTTTGTATTGCCCGGGTAAAAAAATAATTGTAGTCGGAATATTTTTTCCAAATTTTTAAAAAATTTTCAAAAATTTGAATAGGATTTTTTTTTAAATAATTTAGATTGCGTATTTTTTGAGAATATTGAAAAATCAAAAAAGGAAGAAAATAACAGTATAATTTTAAAAAAAATTACATGCGCAAAAATTTCTAGAAAATGGTGAAAAAAATTTTCAAAACAAATTTGTGAAAAATTTTTCAAAACATTTCCCAAAACTAAAATAGTTTTGTTCCCCGATTTTTTTTTGTTTCAAAAGAAAAATTTTCCGAGAAACTGTCAATGTTTTAAAAATTTGAAAAAAATATTCCGATTACAATTTTTTTTACCCGCGATAATTACCGGGTTATCAACAATTAATTTTCCTTTTTCGTTGGGATAAAATGATGTAATAATTTCGTACGTCATTCGGTGATGAACCGAATTGAGTAATTATTCAACATTCCAGATTTATTTTCCTTGTTACGTGAATTGTTAATACCGTAATTTTAACTGAATATTTCCGTCTGGATAATAATCACGTTAATTTCATGATTATCCGATGTCATGATAAATGGTTAAATTCTTGAGATTTTCCATCCCCCGAATAAATGAACTCTGCAATTTTGCCAAGCCCCTGAGCATTTGCCGTCCATCCCCAGTTTTTATGATATCGCAGACTTTACTCGCTATCACACAGTTATTCCCAATGGATAAAAAGCGAATAGACCTATTTTCTCTCCCATCTCGCTTCGATTTCCTCAGAGACCGTGTGACATCGATTTGATAAATAAAATAAAGATATCGTCACACTCTCTTAAATTAAATTAAATTGAAACGTCATGAGTTTATGGCAGCCCAACCCCTTTCCCTGATCAAATGACGTGATATTTGAGATGCGTCATGTCCTTTCATTCCTGAATTTCCCGAACAAAAAATTTAATTGCAAAAATTTCATCATCTCCAGCTCCTACTCGAACGGACCGAACCCATTGTACCCCCTGTAAAAAAAAAAACAATTGTAATCAGAATATTTTTTCCAAATTTTCAAAAAATTTCGGGAAAACTTTTCAGAAATTTTTTTTCATGAAAAAAAATTGGACAACAAAACAATTTTATTTTTGGGAAATATTTTGAAAAATTTTTCAAAAATTTGAATAGGAAAATTTTTTTATAATTGAGATGGCGTATTTTTTGAGAACATTGAAAAATCAAAAAAGTAAAAAAACAACAGTATAATTAAAAGAAAAAATTATATGCGTAAAAATGTGTAGATTATGATAAAGAAAATTTTTCAAAACATTTTCCAAAAATAAAAATGTTCTGCTTCCCGATTTTTTTGGTTTAAAAAAAAAAAATTTCCGGAAAGTTTTCGAAAAATGTATTGAAAATTTAAAAAAAACTATTCCGATTACAATTTTTTTTTTACCCGTGCCACTCCTTAGAATTGTTATCCAAGAAAATCAATGTTCCACATCTTGTGACAAAGCTAAAGAAATTCCTCATCCGCCAATGATTTTATCGATCCATCATGCCCCATAAATCCCCAATAATTCGCGTAAACAATCCTCCCGCAATACCTACACCCTTCGAATAGACTAGAATCAACTAGAAAACCTCTTTTCTTCACGTACATATTTTTTTTGCATGTAATACTACCCAGCATCTACAACAAATTCCCTCTTGAAAAAAAAAAAAAAAAAACAATGAAAAAAACAATGAATCGTTTGCGCGAAATCAGCGATGTCCAGACACAAAGAAAAGGATAAAGAAAGTAAACATTTGAGATGGGGTGGAAATAACAGCCCCTCCGTATACATAATGAGAAATTCCTGGGAATAGAGACCGATGGAATACATCGGAAAGTAGAAGAAAAGTATCCAAGTGGCCTTCTCCCTTTTTCCTTTTCTCTTTGTTTTATCGACGGTACAGATAAGATCCGATCGTAAATAAAGATCCCTTTCGTAATTCGAAGGGGGTTAAAAGGGGTGGAAAGGGAGGGAGGGGGGCAGTATCGAAATTGCACCGTCGTTTCGATCAAGCGTGTACTCTCATTTCTTTCTTCAACGTTATCCTCCCTCACTTTTTCATCTCGTCCTCCCTCAAACGTCCGCTTCAAATGTCCCTATGTGTTCACTTTCAGCACGATTCATTCCTCCAGTTATTTTATTTTTACTTGTTTTTTTTTTTTTTTCAACCCAGTTAGCGCAAATGTGGCCGCTGGCGTATACACGCATTATGCATTCTGCAATGAATATAATTTTATTTTCAAGGGAGAGTCGATAAGGGATGAGTTTGACGTGGGAGTAAAATAGATGTTAAACTTTTTTTTTTTTTGGTATTGAGGGAGCGGTTTTGTGGATGGAATATTGTGATTTTCAATGAGCTTTCAGTGAGGTAAAATTATTTCAGTTATTCATTCGCAAGGGTGGGGGGGTGAATATCAGGATGACAGAATTAATTTCGTGATTAACGCAATGCTTAAAAAATAATTATTCGAATGAGGGATTTATGGGATTGACACGTTTCATCATTAAAACTTATTTCGGGGTTCAATTCAATTATCTCTGGAAAAAATTGATTTGGTGAAAAATTGAAATGATTTCCGACTGAAAAGGGAGGGGGGGGGGGCTAGTGCAGCGCCCTCGGAGGAAAATCCCCTCCTTTCATTCGCATTTAATTTATTCCATTATTCAAACCAAATCGTCCAATTTCCACGTTTGAGCTTTTTCATTATCGACAATTGAATTCAGTGAAGTCAATTATAATTATCCACTTTTAATTTCTCCGCCCGCATGTGTGGGATTCCGATTGTCAATAGAGATCGGAGGAGAGTGTGAAATTCACGAATTTATTTCATTTTTTTCACCCTCTTCATATTGAGATTGAT